GATTCTTTCACATCAGCAAAGAAAAGTACCGACTCTCAGAACTGCAGAGGCTACAATCCAATCTCCCCACGTGACAGCTGAAACGGGAGAGACCTGAGATGGGTTTGGCCACCTGGTGATATGACGTGAATTCTCCTTAGGGGAGCCTTACAGAGAGAGTTAAAGAGCGATAGGTCGCAGCTAGCTAACATCATAATTAATGGTGAAAGGCTAAGACCAAGAACAAGACAAAGAAGTCAATTCTCATCACTTCTATTCAACATTGTACAAGAGATTCTAGTCAGGGCACCTGGGAGGAAAAGGGGGAAGGGGCGGAGGATGGAGAGAGAGAGAGAGAAATGCAACCAGGCTGGGAAACGAAGAAGTGAAACTATCTCTCTTCAAGATGACATGACCTTATAAATAGAAAAAACCCTAAAGAATCCACTAAAGACTACCAAAATTAATAAATGAGTCCAGCAAAGCTGTGGGATATAAAATCAACACACAAAAATCAACTATATTTCTATATACTAGCAATGAACAATCCAAAAGTGGAATTAAGAAAACAATTATATTTGCAATCCCACGGAAAAGAATAAAACAATTATGAACAAATTTAACAAAAGATGTGCAAGACCTGTACTCTGAAACTATACAACATTTTTGAAAGAAATTAAAGAAGATCTAAAGAAATGGAAAGATATAACATGTTCATAGATTAGGAGACTTACCACTGTTACGAAGGTGCTACTGCCTGAATTAATCTACAGATTCAGCTCAATCCCTATCAACAATTCCATCTTGCTTTGTTTGCAGAAATTGACAAGCTGGTCATAAAATTCATATGGAAATGCGAGACACCCAGAATTGTCAAAACAATTTTGGAAAAGAAGCACAAATTCAGTCACATTCCAATTTCAAAACTTACTACACAGGTGCAGTAATTAATCAAGACAATGTGGTACTGGCCAGACATATAGATTAATGGAATAGAATTGAGTGCCCAGAAATGAACTCTTACATTTATGGTGAATTGATTTTTGATGAGGCTGACAAGATAATTCAGTGGAGAAAATAATCTTTTCAACAAATGGGGCTGGAAAAACTAAATATTCAGACAAAAGATGAATTTGGACCTCTTACTTATATCATACACAAAAGTTAACTCAAAATGGATCATAGACCTAAATGTAAGAGCTAACATTGTAAAATTCTTAGAAGAAACCCTGACAGTATATCTCTATGACACTGGATTAAGCAGTGGTTTCTTAGATATGACACAAAAGCACAAATGACAACAGGAAAAACAGATAAATTGAACTACATCAAAAAACTTTTGTGGGGGCTTCCCTGGTGGCACAGTGGTTGAGAGTCCGCCTGCCGATGCGGGGGACGTGGGTTCGTGCCCCGGTGCGGGAGGGTGCCACATGCACGCGGAGCGGCTGGGCCCGTGAGCCATGGCTGCTGAGCCTGCGCACCCGGAGCCTGTGCTCCGCAATGGGAGAGGCCACAACAGTGAGAGGCCCGCGTACCGCAAAAAAAAAAACCCAAAAAAAACAACTTTTGTGCAGCAAACTGTATCATCAATTAAATTTTAAAAATCCACAGAATGGGAGAAAATATTTGTAAATCGTATTATCTGATAAGAGACTGGTGTTCAGATTATGTAAGTAACTCTTCATACAGTAATGAAAAGACAATTAACCCACCTTTAAACATGAGCAAAGGATTTGAATAGACATTTTTCCAAAGAAGCCATAAAATCTGCCAAGAAGCACGCGAAAGGATGTTCAACATCCTTTAGGGAAATGCTAACTCAAACCCCAATGAAATACCGCTGCACGCAACTAGAATGGATAAAATTAAAAAGACAGATAACAAGTGTTGGTGAGGATGTGGAGAAATTAAGAGCCCTCATGCAGTGCTGGTTGGCATGCAAAATGGTGAAGCCCCTTTGAAAAATATTACAGCAGTCCTTCAAAATGTTAAACACAGAGTTTCCGTATGACCCAGTAATTCTACTCTTCTGTATATTTCCAAAAGATGTGAAAACGTACATGCACCCAAAACCTGGTACACAAATGTTCATAGCAGCATTGTTCATAATAGCCGAAAAGTGAAAGCCATCCAACTGTCCATCAACTGATGAATGTACAAATAAAACTGGGTGTATCCAAAATATGGAATATTATTTGGCAATAAAAAAGAATGAAGATCAGACAGAGCTACAACATGGATGAATCATGAAAACACTCTGCTAAGTGAAAGAGGAGAAATACGACATTTTGCATGATTTCATTTACATGGAAGTCCAGAAGAGGCAAACCTATTGAAACAGAACGTATTAATAGATTACTTGCCTCCCAGGGTATAGAGTTTCTTTCTAAGATGATAAAAAATATTTTAAACTTAAATTGTGGGAATGACAGCACAAAACTGTGAATATACTAAAAACCATCGAATTGTATCATTTAAATGGGTGAATGTTATGGTCTGAGAATTAAATCACTTACAAAGAAGTGTTATAAAATGAACTTGATGGGCTTCCCTGGTGGCGCAGTGGTTGAGAGTCCGCCTGCCGATGCAGGGGACACGGGTTCGAGCCCTGGTCTGGGAAGATCCCACATGCCGCAGAGCGGCTGGGCCCGTGAGCCATGGCCGCTGAGCCCGCGCGTCCGGAGCCTGTGCTCTGCAACGGGAGAGGCCATAACAGTGAGAGGCCCGCGTACCGCAAAAAACATTAAAAAATTTAAAAAATAAGTAAATAAAAAAAAATAACATGAACTTGATACCTTTAAAAGAAGTTTTTTGAGAAGCAATGGGCCTTGGGGATGAGGTGGAGCTGCGTATGACTGCTGGCTCTCCCACCACTAGCTATGTGGTCTTTGGTAATTTTCTCTACCATCTGGGCCTCGATAAATGGTAGCTTTTATCATTCAAGAGGAAGGAATATAAAGAGAGATGGGACATGAAGCCGCAGGGTTACAAAGAAGGCAGAACCAAAGTGAGCCTCTGGGATGAAGGAAGCACATCCAGGACGATCATCTAGACTTGGATTCTTGGTCCTTGTCTGTTTCCCAGAAGAATGTGTCTTTCCTAAATATCCCACCCTAGAGCCCTGTCTTGCCGTGGGCGTTGACCTCCACCCTTGCAGTAGGCAAGAGAAGCATCCCTCCCATCAGACAGCAACATGTGCTCCTCCCTTCATCTCCCACCCTTGGCTAGACTTACAGCAAGAACAGAAGCATTTCCAGTATGAACAGAATGGAGGGAACACAAGAAGGACGCTGACAATCAAATTCCAGGCCATTTTTATCTCACGCTGCTCATTTGGGAAGGTCATTTTCCCCCCAGTGCCTATAAGGCGTTAGATGCTTTGAGCTTTACATTCTCAACAGTGTAATGAAAATAGATGTTGAATGCTAACACGTAAACATATGTACCATTCAGAATGCATTCAGATGTTTTTCAATTATTCATGGTCCCTGAAAGTTATCTGACCTATCGTGCATATAATATATCCAAGCAGTGTTTATATCAGAACCACAGCCTCAGTGGACGCAATTCCAGCTCCTCGGCATTCCCGTCTATGGAATGAAAATTAACTGAGGCAGCGGTCATTAAAAGTTACATGTGATTTCCATAAAATTATCCATTGTATATTGCCCTGGGGTGGAGAAAGAAGGTTGCATAGGATTGCCAAACCCGACAGGACACAATATGTTTGCTTTCTGATGAGGGTGATGGTGATGATTACTCTTTCCTAAGAATGAATTCATTTTTTTCCCCAAATAACTGGCGGTCTTGGACTTACTTTTTTCTAGGGAAATAATAACTTAGACAGCCACCCCCTTTCTCTTCTAAGTCCTGCTTTCTTAAAGGAAAAAAAAAAAAAGACAGAAAGAAAGAAAGAGAGACAGCTAGTATTCTGGGCTTAAAAACACCACATTCTCCGTATTGGTGCTTGAATAAATTTGCATGTTAACATGAATGGCTCCAACTTAAAGAATGTAAAATTAAATGAAATTTTAATTCGAATCCAAGATGGAGAAAAGACACGTGTAAAAACAACAGATTGTCGATCTCGTTGAATTTTTTCAGGAACCAGATTAGGAAAGACATCAACACACACACACACACTGTTGGTTTCAAAAAAGGGTGGCACTCAGAGGAGACCGGCGGTGCCAAAGAGGAGCCCCCCACCTCACAGGCACTGCGAGTATTTACAGATCACAGCACAGACCCTGAAGCTCTGTTTCCATGTCTGAATGCCACCGTAAAACTCAGAAATACGACGCACAATCACCTCCGCACTTTGGAGGCCCAGCCAGAGAGAATGAAACGTGAGGGAGAGTGTATGAGCAGCTCAGGCACGTACAGGCATGGCCTCTGCCGGCCCTAAGGGCCATTTCTCGATGTATCCTTGCATAGCGGTTAGATGCCCAGACTGTCAGAGACTCACCTGGGTTGGAATCCCAGATCCACCCACCATTCACTGTCTGGGTGACCTCTGGCCAACGACTTAAGCTGCGGACATACCTTTCTTCATTAGTTTTCATTTACAGAAAAATTGCTGCAGCCTCAACAATTTATTTCGAGAGTAAAATGATACAACGCGCTGAGAACGGTGCCTGGCCCGCAGCAAGGACGGAATAAAGGTTCGCTGTCATTGCGCTGGTTGGTCTGGCGGTGGTTGCTACTGCTATTCGACGTGTAGGTGACAAGGGTCCAGAGGACCCAGGTCTGAAACGGTTTCTTTCTTTCCCGACCTGCTCTCCCATTTCATCCAGACATGACCACCCGGGAAGGAGAGAGAAATCAAGTCATGGGAGGGGCCTGTTCCCCACAACCTCTGCCCACGGGACACGGAGAGACGTCATGCTCTCTTTCCGTCCTGTCCCACCGCTGTCAGCCCTTCTCACAGCCCAGTCTCCATCCGCGAAGGCATTCCCAGTGAAATGACAGTAGGATCATAAGAAAAAATAAAGGAAAGCAAGCACCAGGTGCCAGCGCCTTACCGCATCCTCAGTCCCACCGGTTCCCAGTTTCTGGACCGGAGACTTGTCGCTCTCCCTCAGCATCTTCTCCCGAACTTTGGTTTCATACTCAGGCCGGGGGTGCTCCTAAAAGCCAGAGTCACAGAGTGGTTAGTAAACAGGCGGAGGGCCACCCTGGCCCGCGGGGTATGGCCAGACACCACGAGGACAGGAAGTCAGGTCACGGGGTCAGATGCTATGGGACAAGGGCTGCCACACTACACACAACCACGAGGCGTCGAGACCAGGGACACACTGTGGCGGGAGAGGGGGACACACACCACTTGTTACCACACTGGAAACCAAACCTGAGCACATTCCTGGGGGTGGCGCCAGGGTTGAGAAAGGAGAGACGAAGCATTAACGTGGAGCTGATACAAAAAGGAGCCCCGTGCTGCACACAGCAGTTTGCCCAAAGGCCCGGGGGCTACCTCTGGTCATCCCACCATCTATCCTCAGGCCTCCACTTTAAGTTGCAATGAGCCAAATCCCAGCTGGAGAAACAGATGTGCCCCCCCAGCCGGGAGTCAGGGCCAGGACCAAACGTCTTCCCTGCGCCATTCTTCTGCAAGCCAAAAACGGCCGCCAGTAAACATCACAGTTGAAGGTGCCCACAGGGAATCTTAAAACTCACTTGTCTGGACCTGTTTGCTATTCAGCCTTGGTGAGTAACTCACTGGCAAGCACGCTGATGCTTGGGAGACGGCGCAGGGACACGCAGCAATACAAACCTGGAGGGTGAGTCACCAGGCATGGGAACGAGTGCCTGGGTGATCAGAAAGACCACGGTCCCATCAGTGCAGATGCTGCGGCAGGAAGACGCGTGACTTACTTCAAAGAGAACTGAACAGTGTACACCCGGCCTCCTGCATCGTTTACCGAGAACTCCCAGGCGGGGATTCCGGGGCTGGCTCCCAGCGGACACAGAGAACACACATTCCCTCATCACTGCTCAGGCCTCAGAGATTCTGAAAGCCAACAAGCTGGACTCCTGACCTGTCTCTGGCTTTCCCGAGACATGCCATGATGCTGGAGAGGAGAAACTGTGCACGTGACTAATAAGAATAACCAGTACAGGGCTTCCGTGGTGGCGCAGCGGTTGAGAGTCCGCCTGCCGATGCAGGGGACGCAGGTTCGTGCCCCGGTCCGGGAAGATCCCACATGCCGCGGAGCAGCTGGGCCCGTGAGCCGTGGCCGCTGAGCCTGTGCGTCCGGAGCCTGTGCTCCGCAACGGGAGAGGCCACAACAGTGAGAGGCCCGCGTACCGCAAAAAAAAAAAAAAAAGACTAACCAGTATAACAGAGGAGGAGCCATTCCAGGGTTCTGCAGGCTCCCCATCATCACGCGGGCCCCACGGTGCGTCCCACCCTCAGAGGTGGGACCTGCTGTGACTGCTGAAACACGGCTGGCGGGGCCTGCCCCTCTCAAATACTCTAGAGTCTTACAGCTTACACGACACGCAGTTCTTGATTATGTCATCTTCCTTTATTGTTTCCTAGTTGTTTTGCACGTGGGAATCTTTTCATCCTAAGATAAGAATCCACTACCTGGTCTCCATTATTTTGTTTCTCGCAGCAATTAGCACCGTGGGGAGAACACAGAAATCTCTCAACGCTTGCGAAGTTCACTTCATTTTGTCTCTCCCGTTCACCCATCCTCCAACGCAGCATTTCCTAATGTGTGTGCCAGGAGGGTTTTAGCTAAAAAAGGATTCCAGGGTCTAACAGATTGGAACATACCATACAATGTGTCACCTGAGAGTCACAAGGAGCCTAATAAAAGCTCTGAGAAGTTCTCCTGTAAAGACACGTGCTGAATCTTCTTCAACCCACCATGTCCCACAAAACTTCTTTCGCCTCCAACAATTAAATTAACCTCCTGCAGAAATACTTTGAGAAATGTGCTGTGGCCCCTGAAATTTGGTTGCGTTTCTTCTATGTTATTCCTATGGAAGATTTTAACTACAGAACTAAAGCCGTGCCTTTTTGTACCATCCTCTGGGTTCTAAAGCCCTTCAAGCGAGAACTGCGTCTATCCCGTCATCCTCAGCAAAGGAGCTGACGGGCCTTCCCTGCTGACTGTAAGATGCTCCTGACCGGCCCCTGACTTTCCGAAGACGTGACATCACGTAGAGGAGTGTCCTCACATCCCTCCGGTGGTGGCTGTGGCCCACTTCACTGCACTCTGGGCCCCAGCTCAGACCCTCCTCATCTGTTTAGAACAAGCTGAGAGCTCCTGGCACGCAGACAGGAGTCCAAGGCTCTCAAAGCAGAGTGTCAGGCTGCTCTGCTTTCCAACCGAAGCACGTCAGACAAGGATCTCGCGCTCGCAGCCAAGAAGGTTGGGTGAGGTCACAGGATTCCTCAGAGGCAGGGACCTGGACAAACGAGCGCCTGGCTAGAGCAGAATCTGGACCCCGTGAGGGCTGCTCCAATACACCTAGCCTTAAACACGGCCTCCCTGGATGGGGTCTGACGCCGAATCATCACAAATACATAACCCCTCCCGCCAAGACGCTGGGAAATATTTTGCAAAGCTACTTCCACCTAGTTGCTCCCCTCAGGAGCTGGCCTGAAAGAAGGCCCCAGGCCAGCTCAGGACCAGCCTTCGCTGATCAACAGAGGTAAACCCGGAGATGCAGTCAACAGATGTCTCCAAGAAAGAGTTACCAAAGCATCTACTGCGTTCCGAGCTCTTGGGAGCTCTTCTTCAGGCTCTGAGGCTACGAACAAGGAGCTTATCTCCAAGTGGAGGAAGGTGACAGTAAGCCAACAAAGCCACAAGTAAGAAAGCAGCAGGTGGGGATGAGAGCAACAGAAGGAATGTCAGGCTGGCTGCTTCAGAATGGGGACTGAGGGAAGGCCAGCCAGAGGAGGGTCACGTTCTGCTTGGGATGGAAAAGCTAAGAAAGGTCAGGGCAGGTGGAGGCTGGAGCCTTCCAGGTAGAGGGAGGAGCCGGTGCAAAGCTTGGAAGGAGCCCAGGAGAGAATGCAGGCCCGTGAGGCTGGGAGGTCTGGGAGGAGAAGCACGCCACCACGTGCTGGGGGGAGGCAAGGGATCTTGCGTCCTATGTGACAGGAAGCTATCAGGGCAGCTAAGCCTGACGTGGTAGACGGGGCGGGAGAGAGAGGGACGGGAGGATGTCTGCATCGAGACCACCCTCTCTTAGGGGTCCCAGGGACACGTGGGGCCTGAGTGCAGCAGGGAATCGGGCAAGAGAGGCCACTGAGCTCAAGGCCATCCCACCTCAGAGTGAAGACTCCTGAGGTCTGGCAGGCCTCCTTCGACGGCCTTCAAAGGGGTCTCTGGGGCCATCCCAGCCGGTTCCACAGGGAGGCCCCTGGGCCAGGGGCTGCTGCCCCGGGCGGTGGGCTCTCCAGCCCCCTTCTCCTCCTCCCTGCTTTGAGCCCCGCCCCTGCTGCTTTCCTTGGTGTCCCACGTGGTGCGCGCACCCCAGGCGGGAGAGACAGAGGGTGGGTGGCTCTGGTCTCTGTGTGAGTGAGCACCCTCCCCGCTACTCCCGAAGGGCTGCTTCCTAGCGAAGACCACAGGGTAGAAGCTGTCTGAGGGTTACAGACAGCTGGCCATGGCAGAATCCCTGAGACCTGGAGACAACATCTGGTTAAAACAGAAAAAAAGCTCTCATGATGACCTTCAAGGACCCCTGCAACCTCCTCCCCGAAGCCCAGGTGGTGTCTGCATCCTCTTGCTCCCCATTTGAATGTGGGTTAAATCTGCCCACAGCACTTCATTTAAGGCCTAGGGCAAGTCACAGATGCCTTCCAATCCCGCTCTCCCTGCCGTCCCATGAGCTGAGGAGATACAGTCGGGACCCTCCCTGGCCTAGCCACCAGCCTGCATTTGTTGCTCTGCCCCCACCAACTGCAGCCCAACCCCTGTTCCCTGCAGCCAACTAGACCTTCCAGGTATCCTGCTGCCTCTGAGCCACACCCTGAGCTTCCCTGGATCAAGGCTCCTGTCGGCTGTTTCCTCCTGTGGGTACCCATTCCTCCCTTTGCTGCTCATTAAAATTCAACCAGTCTTCAAAACCCTGATTTAAAAACAAAACAGTTTTTAGACCGGAAGGAATTCCTCTCAAACTCACCATTGTATTCTAATTATTCAGAGACCAGACAACCCCTTAGTTGAATGCAACCCTTTGGAGATGCTCAGAGCCCGCGCCTGAGGGAGTTCCATGTCCCAAACCAAAACCTGGCCCACAGTACGTGCCTGATGTGCACGTTCAGACTTAACTCAACTTAGAGCGTGCTTAACATCTGAGTCCAAAATCTAAACACATGGAAGGAAAGACACAGCTGCCCTCCCTCCTCTCAACCACGCCTGGCCCTGGGCTTGCACACGGTGGGGGGCACATCCTCAATGCTGCAGAACTGACCCGCCCCCAGTAACCTCACACAGAGAGCCCGTCAGGACCAGCTCTTTGCGCCAGGGGTGAACCCAGGCTTGGCCAGGCCTCTCTCTCAGCCTGCGCAGGAGTTACTGAAATCACGCCCCTCCCAGGAAGTGACCATGGCTCATCAGGTTAAACAGGAAACCTGGCTGCAGAAACCAGAATGGCTTAGCATCCCACTCCTGCCAGGGACTGAGACGTCAAGGGCACTGAGTCATAACGGATGCCTTTCTCTGTGTGAGTGTGTTTACACTTCCTCTTTCACAGGCAGACCTGCTGGCCTCCTCAGCGCTACTCAGAAGACATACTTAGCTTGTTTCTGTCCCCACACAGGCGTGGATGCCAGGCTGCTGCTTCTTCTCTTCCTCGAGACCTCCTAGGCCCTGCTGCAGGAGAGAAGGACCTGTGCGCCCACCACCTCCCCACACCCAGCCACAGCTCTCTCCCCTCTCTCTTTCTCCTCAGAATCAAATCGAACCAATAGGACAAAATCACCCACACAGTCCGACTTCCACAGCGCTTTCGATTGGAAGCACTACCTTGGCCATCTTTCCCCAAGAAATGCAATTGCCTTTACTGTTCTCTGTTGCTTATCTTCCCAACTAATGCGTATCGTCTCTGAAGTGAGAACTCATATGTAGATCCTCTCATTTGCCACGGAACCCTGATGCTGTGAGTCTCCGGGTATCTGCTTAACGCACAGGACTGGGATGGAGTGAATGTGTGAACTCAATCCATGGTCATGGAATGCCCACCTGCTCAAAGGCAAGCTGACGACTTGGAGCTTTAAGGAGAGCAGAGGATGTCACATCACAGAAAAGGGAGCCACACAGCCTTGAGAATAGGACTAAACTGGGGGTTTCACTAGCTTAGTCACAAAGCGTCAGGGTCACAAAGCCAGAGGTCCCGAGTCCAAGGAGAGGCACATCAGTGAATGAGGGAGAATACAGGAAAAGTCTGCTCCCCGCACAGCTGTCACATGCTCTCAGCCAGCCTATGCACATGGCACTCAGGCAACTGGGGGCACCTCCTGGTGCTCTGGACACTGTCCCCAGCATCTCACCGACACTGCCCAGGGCATCGGGAGCCCCTATCTGATATTCACGTTTGCTGTTCAGGCAATGGCAGCGCACGGGAGAAGAGAACCGTGAGCAACCAGGCCCACGCTGGTCATCGTCAACTCACCAACATCAAAGGGGGCCCTAGTTCTCAAAGGAGCCCCGAGGGAAGGTCAATTTGTTCCATCCTTTAAAATCATCTGTCCATACAACTAGACTCTGGAAGAACCTACCCTTTCCCTTAGCTCACGCTCCTGTTGCACACATGCTCTCCTGGCTGACAGGGTACTGGATCAGTGGTTCTTTCTTCCTCCATATGCATCAGGGCAACCGAGACCTAGCACCCATGCCTCCCCCTGACCCTCTGCAGGCTCACAGAAGCATCCAGACACGTCCGTGCTCTGGGTCACGTTCTCTGGCTTCGTGCTCTCGAGCACCAACAGGATGGGAGGTGGAAGAACGCTGAGTTAAACCTCGAGGTCACCACAAGGCTTGCTTCTCATGCCATTTTTTCCCAGAGAGGGTCACAAGGACATCTGGCTACCCATCAAGTCCAAAGTCTTACAGCTCAAGCGAAGAGAGAGGATTTCAACTCTTGGCCTCAGTGCCCATCAACCCTGGCTTGGCCCATGGAGCCAAGCTAGGAAAGGGGCCACAGCGAGACTCGGCAGGTGACTTGGCTGCCGTGATAGCAAATGTAAGCGGTTATTTCACTCAAGACAATCTATTTCCAGGGGCAAAGCAAAGCAAAGACCCAAAGAGAACTCACTTCTTCCTCTTCTATGCCAGTCAGATCCCAGAAGTAGCCTAGTCGCATCTGTAATCTCTTCCAGTTTTCAAGAAACATGGTAGCTTAAAAAGAAAGGAAAAAATTCTGTTAATTCTGAGCACCCTCAGGGTTCCCCAAGGGAGGATAAACTTATAAATTTCAAATTTAGGGACTTTCTTTAAAGCATCGATTCCCTTCCCCAACCCCAACTTCTAGCTGGGACAACTCAAAATACTCCACATCCAGGAGAGCCCAAGAGATATATTTAAAGGGACACACACACACACACACACACACACACACACACACACCCTTTTCCCTATTTCTAGGTTATAAGAAACGGGTAAACACGGATCTCAATAAATGAAGGAAGAACGGAAGGATAAAGGAAGTAAGAATGGAAGGGTTTGATGGTCTGTCGTCTTTTATGACAAACCTCGTCTTCCCTATACGTTCCCTCTTCCTGCACCTTCCTGAGCACTCTCACTTTTTTCTCCATCTTTCTGTCCCCAGCACAACTTCCCTTCTCTGGGCCCAAATCACCTCGTTCTGAGGTTATGTAACATCTCCGAGTAGTTCTACGTGAGTCCAGGGTCTCAGTGTCCCCGCCCCCCATCCCGCATGCAGCTGGAAGACTCATCTCCTCAAAGTGCCATTCACTCATTCTTCCATTTGTTTAGCAAATGCTCGTTGAATGCCTACCGTCCCGACACATTGGTTAGCCTGCCTTCTCCAACCACAGCCCTTGAAGGGCAGCCCAACATGCTCCGGAAAGAACCAGCCCCCTCTGCTCCACAGGTATGGCTTCTTATGCCAGGATTGGACACCTGATCCAGAGCCCACTCATAGGCCAATCGGATTCTCTCTTTTGAAAACTGAAACTAAGAGACACAAAGAGAAGCAGAAATGGGACAAACCATGCAGCACGTGAAAGAAGGAAGGAGAGAGGTTTCTGATTCCTCCTTCCGCTCCAGTTGCCTAGGGGCCTGGCTATCCTTAATTTCCTGCATCCACGAGCTTGCTTCCTACTTTCTTATCATCTCTTATTATTTAAGCAAGCTTGAACGAATTCCCTATCAAAAAACCCAAAAAAACAAAAAAACCAGACCTGAGGTACCTGCAATATACAAAACAATGTTCTAGACATCGTGAGGAAGACTAGGTAAATCTGACGTGCATTTTGCTCTCAAGTTGTTTAGTCTATGAGAAGAGATTTTACATAACTACAGTACAAGGTATGATGTGATCAGGGCCTTAAGAATGACGCAGATAAAAGGCTGTGGGCATGCAGGAGAGAGGGCGCCAGCTGCTGCAGCATCTGAGCTGAGTCTGGAAGAGCAATGGCATTTGGGCGGTGCAGAGAGGCAGCGAGAGGGGGGATCCCAACACACACCCCCAAACTTACACTGGGTCCCTATTGTCTAGATTCTTCCCTCTGGATTCAGGGACCTTGGGTATCTGGCCCAGCCCATCTGTCCACATCTATTCGCACCGCTTGTCAACACACACCTCATGCCTGCATTGCTGATGAGGGCATCGCCTTGCTGTCCTCTTCATCCCCAGCTTTTGCAAACTGTCCCCTCTCCCACGCTACCCTCCAGTGCTGTCCTCCTCCGTTCCTGACCAGCTCATCCTTTCCCAGGCGCCCGTTCCTCTGCACTCCTAACACCCTTAGATCTGGTGCCCTGGAAAAGGAGGGGGCGTGACAGTCCCTGAGGCCACCCCTACCTTTCTACACCACCCCTGGTAAGAGCCTGGGCGCCCCTCCACTACCTGCCGCACCGGACTGTCGGCTGCCATTCGGGTCTGCAGCGTAATAACAGGACCGCAAACGCTTCTTCGGCTCGTACCTGCCTCTGTTCACCTGGGAACAGCACGGGGCTGAGCAAAACAGGCACCCACCTGCTGGCTGAACGTATGGTTACTTAAAGCTACATTTGTTTCACTTGGCGCTATGACAGCTACTAGCTACATTGTGGTACACGCATCTGTATCTTTTCTCCCTGGGATCTGAGGCCTTGTCGGGTGGGTACCCCACCTCCCGACCCTGGCCTTGGCCTGGGGATGGTCTCCAAACAAGGGGTACGCCCCTCCTTTTCCTGCGCTGTTCTCAGTGACTGAGGAGGGCTCTGCACACAGACCGAGGTCTCTGTGAAGGAGAGAAGTCAGACTGGGAACAGAGGACAGGGCAACAGAGTCACTGAGGGGGAGTCATGGGGACACAGAGGACCGTCGCGACGACGGAGAGCAGCTCACAGCTCCTGGTGGGAATCATGGCCAGGCACCACTCGGAGTGCTCTGCATACACGTCCCACTGACGGTCACGAGAACACTAGGGTGCAGGTCTCACCTCACCCGCTTGAGAGATGAAGGCAGTGCTGCTCCCAGGTCGAGGACCACCCCTGCCCCACGTTACTCAGCACCTCGGCTAAGAGGACTGACTTCAGAGACACAGGGCTAGTCACGCTGGCTGGCACAGGGCGGGACTGGGACCCACGGTTAGGACTGTCTGACCCTGAAGTCACTGTCCTTAACCTCGTCCCTTTACTCCTCCCTTCCCTACTTTTCAATAGGGCTTCACTCTCATTCCAAAGTTCCCTGGAGTTTGAAGCCAGAACCCCGGAGGAGCTGGGCCAGACTGCTCTGCTGGTCCCGGGTCCTGCTGACTCATCTCAGGGACCCCTGTTTCCGCCCCACCAGCAGCCCCATCGCTCTCTCTCCGTGGAGAATCACTTCTTCTCCCAGCTTTCTTCCTGGCAGGCTTGGGCCCTGGCCCAGGCCCACCCAGCACAGTACCACTGATCATAATAATCATGTAATGACAGGCATTACCATTATTTTCTTTTTAACATCTTTATTGGAGTATAATTGCTTTACAACGGTGTGTCAGTTGCTGCTTTATAACAAAGTGAATCAGTCATACATATACATATGTTCCCATATCTCTTCCCTCTTGCGTCTCCCTCCCCCCACCCTCCCTATCCCACCCCTCTAGGTGGTCACAAACCACCGAGCTGATCTCCCTGTGCTATGCGGCTGCTTCCCACTAGCTATCGATTTTACGTTTGGTAGTGTATATATGCCCATGCCACTCTCTCACTTCGTCCCAGCTTACCCTTCCCCCTCCTCATATCCTCAAGTCCATTGTCTAGTAGGTCTGTGTCTTTATTCCCGCCTTACCCCTAGGTTCTTCATGACCTTCTTTTTTTATAGATTCCATATATCTGTGTTAGCATATGGTATTTGTTTTTCTCTTTCTGACTTACTTCACTCTGTATGACAGACTCTAGGTCCATCCACCCCACTACAAATAACTCAATTTTGTTTCTTTTTATGGCTGAGTAATATTCCATTGTATATATATGTGCCACATCTTCTCTATCCATTCATCTGTCGATGGACACTTAGGTTGCTTCCATTTCCTGGCTATTGTAAATAGTGCTGCAATGAACACTGTGGCACATGACTCTTTTTGCATTCTGGATTTCTCACGGTATATGCCCAGTAGTGGGATTGCTGGGTCATATGGTAGTTCTATTTTTACTTTTCTAAGGAACCTCCATACTGTTCTCCACAGTGGCTGTATCAATTTACATTCCCACCAACAGTGCAAGAGGGTTCCCTTTTCTCCACACCCTCTCCAGCATTTATTGTTTCTAGATTTTTTGATGATGGCCATTCTGACTGGTGTGAGATGATATCTCATTGTAGTTTTGATTTGCATTTCTGTAATGATTAGTGATGTTGAGCATTCTTTCATGTGTTTGTTGGCAATCTGTATATCTTCTTTGGAGAAATGTCTATTTAAATCTTCTGCCCATTTTTGTATTGGGTTGTTTGTTTTTTTGATATTGAGCTGCATGAGCTGCTTGTAAATTTTGGAGATTAATCCTTTGCCAGTTGCTTCATTTGCAAATATTTTCTCCCATTCTGAGGGTTGTCTTTTGGTCTTGTTTATGGTTTCCTTTGCTGTGCAAAAGCTTTGAAGTTTCATTAGGTCCCATTTGTTTATTTTTGTTTTTATTTCCATTTCTCTAGGAGGTGGGTCAAAAAGGATCTTGCTATGATTTATGTCATAGAGTGTTCTGCCTATGTTCTCCTCTAAGAGTTTGATCGTTTCTGGCCTTACATTTAGGTCTCTAATCCATTTTGAGTTTATTTTTGTGTATGGTGTTAGGGAGTGTTCTAATTTCATACTTTTACATGTAGCTGTCCAGTTTTCCCAGCACCACTTATAGAAGAGGCTGTCTTTTCTCCACTGTATATATTCTTGCCTCCTTTATCAAAGATAAGGTGACCATATGTGCGTGGGTTTATCTCTGGGCTTTCTATCCTGTCCCATTGATCTATATTTCTGTTTTTGTACCAGTACCATACTGTCTTGATTACTGTAGCTTTGTAGTATAGTCCGAAGTCACAGAGCCTGATTCCTCCAGCTCCGTTTTTCGTTCTCAAGATTGCTTTGGCTATTCGGGGTCTTTTGTGTTTCCATACAAATTGTGAAATTTTTTGTTCTAGTTCTGTGAAAACTGCCAGTGGTAGTTTGATAGGGATTGCATTGAATCTGTAGATTGCTTTGGGTAGTAGAGTCATTTTCACAATGTTCATTCTTCCAATCCAAGAACATGGTATATCTCTCCATCTATTTGTACCATCTTTAATTTCTTTCATCAGTGTCTTATAATTTTCTACATACAGGTCTTTTGTCTCCTTAGGTAGGTTTATTCCTAGATATTTTATTCTTTTTGTTGCAATGGTAAATGGGAGTGTTTTCTTAATTTCACTTTCAGATTTTTCATCATTAGTGTATAGGAATGCCAGAGATTTCTGTGCATTAATTTTATATCCTGCTACTTTACCAAATTCATTGATTAGCTCTAGTAGTTTTCTGGTAGCATCTTTAGGATTCTCTGTGTATAGTATCATGTCATCTGCAAACAGTGACAGCTTTACTTCTTCTTTTCCGATTTGGATTCCTTTTATTTCTTTTCCTTCTCTGATTGCTGTGGCTAAAACTTCCAAAACTATGTTGAATAATAGTGGTGAGAGTGGGCAACCTTGTCTTGTTCCTGATCTAAGTGGAAATGGTTTCAGTTTTTCACCATTGAAGGTGATGTTGGCTGTTGGTTTGTCATACGTGGCCTTTATTATGTTGAGGAAAGTTCCCTCTATGCCTCCTTTCCGCAGGGTTTTTATCATAAATGGGTGTTGAATTTTGCCAAAAGCTTTCTCTGCATCTATTGCGATGATCATATGGGTTTTTCCTTCAATTTGTTAATATGGTGTATCACACTGACTGATTTGCGTATATTGAAGAATCCTTGCATTCCTGGGATAAACCCCACTTGATCGCGGTATATGATCATTTTTAATGTGCTGTTGGATTCTGTTTGCTAGTATTTTGTTGAGGATTTTTGCGTCTACGTTCATCAGTTATATTGGCTTGTAGTTTTCTTTTTTTGTGACATCTTTGTCTGGTTTTGGTATCAGGGTGATGGTGGCCTCGTAGAATGTGTTTGGGAGTGTTCCTCCCTCTGCTATATTTTGGAAGAGTTTGAGGAGGATAGGTGTTAGCTCTTTAAATGTTTGATAGAATTCGCCTGTGAAGCCATCTGGTCCTGGGCTTTTGTTTGTTGGAAGATTTTTAATCACAGTTTCAATTTCAGTGCTTGTGATTGGTCTGTTCATATTAAAAATAATAGTAAACATTTAACAAGAAACATTTACTATTATTTTTAATTGTAATTTGTAGGCAGCCATGCCTAGGGGATCTTGGCTGCTGTAACCAAATACACAATCGCATAAAACACACAGCAAGGCCGTTAAAATAACAAAACCAACCCCTAAGCCACAAAGCGCTGACACAATCCCACCGCATTTGCTTTCCCTCCACTGCTGCTATGTGAGAGAAAGAGAGGGGAGCTGGGGGTGGTGAAACGGTCGTGAACCTCAGAAGGGGTGGGAGGTATCTATTCATCCATCGCGAGAGCAGGGAAGGTACAGCTGAAAACCAAGTTTCCCCACAACAAGGAAGCACACATCCCAGGAGAGGTCTTGAGGGATTGTGGACCAGAGTCAGTAAGCTTCAGCTGCTCAGTCACAGTAATATTTGCCAGACAGATTCATGGGAATGAGGGGTGCAGCATATCAAAGCATGGGTGCGTCTTTTGCGCTCCGATCAGTTCAAATGGATTTGGGGTGATTACAAGACGCCGCCTTTCGAGAAGCAGGCACAGAGCCGCCTGGCACCGCGTGGGTCACACGCTGCAAATTCAGGTTGTTCTCCTGACCCTTCCTGTGAACAGTTCCAGAGCTACACGGCCACAAGTGCCCTTTCCTCCGACCCCCTGCCCCTATTCTGTGGGCTGACACTGCCCACATTCCTGGGCAGTGGTTATTCTCCCTGGGAGAACAGAGTCTCTGCTAAACACCTTCCTCGGTGGCCTGGTCACGTGGGAATCTTTCCAGCTCGGTTCTGTCTCCACCCACGTAGAGGTGCCCGCAGGAGACAGAGGCCACTGGGACCAGTTCTGGCAGCGGTGCTAGAACAGACCTCGCCTCTCTCCTGGTCACACTCCCGGGATGTGTGACTCACGGCCCCATCCTGGTGTGTCCTCCAGGCCCCCTGGAATCACGGATAAACCTAGCAGCTTCTGCAGCAGGACAGTGGCCCTGCCGGTCTGTAATCCAATGGGAAAGATGAGGGCCTGCACTGGATGGATGAGTGAAAGGCAGGCTGCTACTCCCAACAGGCTGAAACATATCCCCTTGGTCCCTTCCTTAATACCCGTGGCTGTGTCTTCTTAGAAATGTTCAGTGACCACGGGGTGGTTATCCCAGTTTGTAAGAATAGAAGTGTGTGTGTGTGTACACGTGTGCATGCGTGTGCTTCTAGTCAGATAGCTGTGGCCCAGAGAAACTTTATTACCCCAAGACTCTGGGGGGAAGGGAGGAGGAGGAAAATGAAGGAACTATTTGTTCCTTCCTTCAGAGATCCCTTGGGTGAGAATATTGAAAACATCCCTCTGGCATTAGGTAAAATCTCTGCAGTCTACGCTCGCCTTGTCCCGGGAACTGCACTGAGCGTGGAGGCAAGAGACCAGGTCTGGGCCCACCTTTACCCCCAGCTAACTCCGTGACTGTGGCAGTCACCCCACCATTCTGAGTGTGACACCAAATGACATCTAGGACTTGCCATGTCTTAGGAGATGTACCTGGAGGTGCCTATGAGTGTGTGAGGGGTTTTCAAAGCATGCATGGATGGGTTCCATCTCCAAATAAATCCTACATGAGATTAACACCAGATCCACATTGCTCCACCTCTTTAAAAAATATATTTATAAAGCCACGGAGGATATTCTTAGTTCTATTCACATGTATGAGTAAAGTAGAGAAATCTATTGTCCCTAAAATGCTTTTTAAGGTATAAGGACCAGGGCTTCCCTGGTGGCGCAGTGGTTGAGAGTCCACCTGCCGATGCAGGGGACACGGGTTCGTGCCCCGGTCCGGGAAGATCCCACATGCCGCGGAGCGGCTGGGCCCGTGAGCCATGGCCGCTGAGCCTGCGCGTCCGGAGCCTGTGCTCCGCAACGGGAGAGGCCACAGCAGTGAGAGGCCCGCGTACCGCCAAAAACAAAACAAAACAAAACAAAACAAAAAAAACCCCCCAAATACTAAGGAAGTAAACCGAAGGATATGGGCTTTAGAGCTTGGTCACTGTACCCATTTAAAGGTACCCCCCCATAGAAGCAAGCCTCATGGTGACAGCTTACCCCACAGAGCCATGAAGATGGAGAAGAAGACAGTGGCAGGGTTGTCAAACAGGTGGCTGGCCCGCGCCGTTCCACAGGCCGAGCTGAGGTTCCAGTAGTCACAGGACTTGTCACACAGGGGACACATGGTGAAGGCATTCTGTTGGTCACACATCTCTTTGCTGCAGAAGACAGAGGCTGCTGGGTCAGGGGGGCTCCAGCAGGACCCTTCTCAAGCCCATCACCCCCAAAACAGCTCCCACTTCCGAATCCCTGGTTGAGCTTATCAACTCCAACAGCGAGGTATGTTAGAGAGTTGGAATTGGGTTCTTCCCTTCGGAAGTGTTATTCTTATATCTTGTCTTAAAAAATGAATGGGCTACCTTTGGAGATATGGAGCCCCCTGTCACTAAAAGTGGCCCAACAGAAAGTTAATGACCATCTATCAGAGATGCTGTTCATTGGACAATGCCACATAAAGTCCATTCAAAATGTGCTGTGTCTACGGGGCTGGTGGGACACATCAACAATTGTGAATAAATCACCCATCGGAGGTCAGATTCCATCGCTCCCATTCAAGCATGGGCTGTCTCATCAGTGAGTACGGCTGGTCACACAGAGGAACAAACACGAGTGTGCAGCTGAACCAACACAATTCCTTCCTCTGGAGGGAGAAGCCACGTGAAAAAGAATGGAGTCAGGTGGCTAGAAGCCCATTTCTAAGTGCATCAGCCACGTGACCGTTTGTAGAAAGGGAATTAGTAACCTCAACTTAGTAAGAATTATCACAGACCTAGAGAACAAATGTATGGATACCAAGGGGGAAAGGGGGGGGGTGGGATGAGTTGGGAGATTAGGATTGACATACATACACTATTGACATTATGTATAAAACAGATAACTAATGAGAACCTGCTGTATAGCACAGGGAACTCTACTCGGTGCTCTGTGGTGACCTAAGTGGGAAGGAAATCCGAAAAAGAGGGGATATATGTATACGTACAGCTGATTCACTTTGCTGTATAGCAGGAACTAACACAACATTGTAAAGCAACTATACTCCAATAAAAATTCTAAAAAATAAAAAAGAAATTTTTTTAAGAAAAAAAAAGAATTATCGTAACCATGAAATGGGATGAGGGAGGCCAGAAGAATAAGGTAAATTCTTCCAAAGTCTAGATTCCAAGATACTTGGAGAACAAACTAGTCAAATAACCATCACCTATATTCTCACCTATTTTCAGTGTATTTCTGTTACAGGACTCATGAATGTATTTGAATTCCATTCATTCGTTAGGTGATTAGCTGGACCCAATTAATTTAGGCTCATCAGGGTGCTTGCAAATAAGAACCGAAGTATTCTCGGCCCTAACTGGCTTCCCCAGTAACCCTCCACACTACATTCTGGTAGGAAAATGAATGAACTCATCACTCTGGTGTGTCATATTCCCCCTGGGAGATGGGTACATGGCTAAGCTCATGGTTTTGGGAAAAAGGGTGGAGAACTGGCAATTTCATGAAAATGAAGCACTGGCTGTTCTCACAGAGCAGCTGGAGCCACGGTGATGGGGCCGCAGGGGACCCCAGGCTGAAACCACAGCTGGGTTTCCTCCGGAAACAGGCAGCAGAGGGCGCTACCGAGCACGGTACAGTCGGAGGCCGCTGCCGGCGGAGGGAGCTGGTACCTGGGTGCTGAAGCCCGGGATTAGATGAAACCCAGAAGCCGGCAGGATGCCTGCGTCTAGCTCCCCATCGCTAAGCAGTCGAAAGGTTTCACCGAGGGCTGTCACTGTCTGTCAAGTCCCAGCTTTCAGGCTTGTTTTTAATGAGTCACGGCAGGGAAGGCCGCCTGTGTGAGAGAATGGAAACTACGTCTCCGAGGATAAATCCCAGTTCCTCCATTGACTTTCCATTGGCAAGTATCAAGAGCGGCGACGCGCTCACATAGACAATATTAAATAGTAATTTCTTAATAATAAGTTCAGCCGTGCTAGCTTCACCTGGGCATGCGCTTGTTGGTAACCGGAGAGCAAGGTTCATTTTAAGTCTTCTGGGTCAGACACATGTTGGCTGCCTGGTGGAGGAGTTGCTGCTTTTGGAGAGGAGAGTACCTCTTAGAAAACAGACTCACGTGGAAAACAGTGGGTCTGCACAAAGCCTAGTAAAGAGCTTTGCTTCTAAGCCATTTCTGAGAAGACATGAGTCCTTCTCATATCTTTGCTGCGGAGGGTTTTTTTTTTTACACATAGAAGGGGGTGGAATCCTAGAACACCTAATCTCAATCAAAACTAGTTAATGCTGGGTTTCCCTGGTGGCGCAGTGGTTGAGTCCGCCTGCCGATGCAGGGTACACGGGTTCGTGCCCCGGTCCGGGAAGATCCCACATGCCGCGGAGCGGCTGGGCCCGTGAGCCATGGCCGCTGAGCCTGCGCGTCCGGAGCCTGTGCTCCGCAACGGGAGAGGCCACAACGGTGAGAGGCCCGCGTACAGCAAAAAAAAAAAAAAAAAAAAAAAAAAAAAAAAAAAAAAAAAAAAAAAACTAGTCAATGCTAAAAGGTCAGAAGTAAAAAAGTATTAGCCACCAACTTGGCACACTTTGAAACTTAAGGGCTGTGTACATTACTGGTTTTAAAATCAGAACACAGTCAACTGCCAATCATTTTGTACAAAATGGCAGCCGTGGTACATGGATACTCATCACATCTTTTCAGTTTGAAGTCAGAATGCTCTACGTGTATTGGGTTGGGGTTTTTTGTTTCATCTTTTGGGTTTTTTGATGCAAGCAATTTGAACAGAATTCTGGAGAAATTCTGCCTTAGGATGACATTAAAAGGACTCTGTAGTCTCTGAAAGAGGCTGCCTCTAGACAAGCTGAAAGATGGGGGAACCTCCCCTAGAACTGAAGTCAGGTCTGGGTCATTCACTAGCTGCCTTCACCACAGATTCCCAGTTCGAAGTAACAGTGGCTATAAATGCAATGGTGTATTTCTTCAATCTATCATTTTCTCTGCGAAGCAGAAGATTGATGAATGGGCTGACCATCAGGTGAACCAAGACCCCAGAGTGGGTGGTGTCCTCAATGAGTGACCCACAGCTCACAGGTCAGGCGACACAGAGCTGTACTAGCCACAAAGGGAGGCAATTATTCAGGAAATTCAGACAGAACATCTGCTATTAAGGTTTCAGGTCTAAACTAACCAATTTTTGAAAATATGGTTTAGATTAATTAGCTTTAAAAAAATGCTCCAGTCTTTCCTAGGCGTGTAAGCAAATGGAGAACAAATGCAACCAACCCCTTGCGAAGTCAAGGAAGGTTCTATAGATATACCGAGCACATACGGAATTATTATTTACAAGTGACGCTTGTGTCTCACATATCGAAGTTCTTGGCGATAAAAGGTACCATTTAAAGTTCCACGTGATGTAAATTTTCTGGTTTTGATACTGTACTGTAGTTATATAAGACGTAATCACTGGCGGTAACTGGATGAAGGGTGCCCTGGGCCCTCTGCACTATCTTTACCACTTCCTGTGAATCTATACTGTTTTCAAAATAAAGCTTTTTTTTAAAGTGATACACAGATACTAAATTCCAGGCTTAATGCCAAAATTAGAAACCTTTCTAATAATCCCAGGAAGAGTGCAAGTTTTTAATCACGCTTAGGAGTGGCTGATAGACACAGACCCTAGAAGAGTACGAATTCATTTGGATTCAGTATTGGGACTTAGAGGCTATTCCTCTGTTAATGAGGATTGGTAGTTGGTGAGTTTTTGCCAGGCGTAGAGCTTGGACTTTTGATAGACATACAATTATGATTAAGAAGCAGTTCTCAAAAACGTCTTCATAGTGTGCTTAACTTTTTCTATTTCCACCTTCTTGATTTGCCCCACCTTACTCTGAAAAACTGGCACCCAAACTTTCAAATTTTATAGCAGCCAATTTCAAACTTTTTTGTTATAGAAAGTTAAAAAAACAGTTTAAAAAAAATTTACCACAGATTCCAGTATGCGAGTATATACGTACCCGCTCCTCATAAAAACACTTATATCACTAAAATAACTGTCATGAAACAATTCTGATACTTCCTTCTCGTGATGACTACTAATATTATGTTTCATTCTACTCTGTCCCACCTTATTCTAGTTCATTTAAAAGGTAACGATTACATTGATTCTATAATCCATTAATGGGCTGCTATCCACAGTTCGTAAAACATCGCACACTCCAGGATGTCTGCAATGATAATGATCACGTTTTACACGCGTCTAAACCCGCACGCACATGAGTGTCCATGCATGTGCATAAATAAATGACTTTGCAGCTTGTGTAGACCATGGTCATTTCCAGCCGCAGTGGTCACCGTCACATGCATTCCCGTGTGGAGACCCAGGGCACAAGTTCTAAGTCCTGACGTAAACCAGCACACAGATGCCCTACCCGCTGCACTGAGTTGGTTCGAGGTGCGTGGTATGGAGTCCTCAGCTTGGATCAACCTGAGGCCCAGCTCCCCAGGGATCACAACCGGCAACTGAGCCGGGTTTTCTTCTGAGACTGAACCAACTGGGGCCAGTTGGAGCAACTGGGCTGCAGAGGAGGGTAAGAGCCCTCAGGAAGACTGCACTGCTTACTGGAAAAAGCAAAGACCTTGGAGCAGGTGGAACTCAAATCCCAACCCTGACAATTATTAATTGCTGAAGTTGGACAAGCGACCTCAGGTAGCATCCATGTCTCCCTCTCTCTGAGGTGAGAATACCTACTGACAACACTGATCTCTACAGGATCAAAGAAACAAAACACAGAAACCACCTAGCACCATGCCTGGTACAACTAAGACCAGGAATTTGGTAAGTACTCGTTCTTCCCTCGTGCTGCGCGAGGCAGAGCCCGGAAGACATGGGTCCTGTGACAAAGCTCACAGAATGCCAGTCCCGAACCCTGAACGGATGACACCACAGTTTTTATACACAAACATATCCAAACCCTTGTCTCTCATACCAAGGTATTGAGCTTTATTCTAACTACTGACACGGCCATCTCCAGTGTCCCTAACCTGCAAGAGCTTTTCTATAGAGTGACATAATGGAAGATCACCTGGTTCCTGCCGCTGGTGGGTACGCTTTCCTCAAAGAGCACAGCTCTTGCCCATTTCTTCAGGGTGGCCCCGACTTCCCCCATCCCTAACCCCAACTGTTGTGGACACCCACAGGCTGCCCAGTGTCCCCATTCCCCAGGCTACTGAGGGAGCATCCCTGCTGGCACAGTGTCGCCCTGCCCCCAAGCCACGACTGGCTGACCCAGAGCCTCTACCTAAGCCAAAAGGAGTCAACAGGACTTCTTCACTTGGGACCAATCGAGTATAAAGCTCTCAGGTATGACACCCATGAGCTACAAGCAGCCGTATTTACATCCAATGGAGAAACTCTTCAGTGAAACAAATAAATACTAGAAATAATCAGAGACGGGCAGTAAACAGAAGGAGTCCCTATTTCCATAGTCCCTTGGGCTAGCCACGTGCCTGCCACTGGGGCCCCTGAGGGCCCCCCGAAACCCTGAGGACAAATTCCCTTTATCTGCGTACGTTAGTTCACATGCATTTCTATCACTTGCAACTGAAAGAGTATTAAAATACACAAATGAGGGAATTCCCTGGCAGTCCGGTGGTTAAGACTCCCCGCTTCCACTGCAGACGGCCCGGGTTCAGTCCCTGGTCGGGGAACTAAGATCCCTCATGGCTCGAGGCATGGCCAAAAAAAAAAAAAAAAAGTAAAATGCATAAAGAATGCTTCCGTTTGCAAAGCCAGTTCTGGAGATGGCAAGAGATTTAAATTCTAAATATTGGCTAAGTGTCTCAAACTCTATTTCCACATATATTGATTCATTCAACAATAATTTATGAATACTCTGCTGTGTGCCAGACACTGTCAACTTTAGTCCTCACAACGCCACCATGAAGCAGGCGTCATTATGACCATTTCACAGCCAAGGAAACCAAGAGTCAGGGAGTGAGGTACCCAGTCACGTAGTTACTATGTAACACATTCAGTCCTAAAGGATGCTCTTTTTAGTCCCTATTTTCTTGTAGGATCTCTCTTCTCCAACAGGATCAACCTTTGTTCCATGTCTTGGATCGCCAAGAGCCCCGCTACGGGGCCTGTCACCTCCTGCAGTCTCTGACATCCTGAGCCAGAGCTGAGGCTTCCTCAGCTCCAGAGCTGCCTGCTTCTGACACAGCCTCACAGCTTTTGATCCCAGCAGCGTTTGACCACATAGATGCCATCTCTATCCAATACCACTCAACACTTCCTGCCTTGGGTCATCTGGGAAACCAAAGGGAAAAAAGTCATGAAATTGAGGGGAAAAAAAGCTTTTCTCAGGCATGATTTCTTTTTCATCAGTTTTCAGACCCTGCCCAATCAGACCCTGGTCCTGGAGAAGAGCTTGACCAGGAAAGGAAGTGGCCACACCCAGCGTGGCTCTGAGCTGTTCCCAGAATCTGTTGCTCCCAGACCTCTCAAGAGGGAAGTGACAAGTGACCTGCTGCGTGGTAAGGAAAGCGGGAAGGAGAAGGACAAAGGGGGAGGCTTTGGAAGGAGGCGTCTGAAATGTACAATGTACTTGCAACTGGGGTAAAACTCCAAACGACTGACACGTGAGAACTGAGCCTTTTCCGTTAAAACCAACTCACCTGGGAATATCTTCTTCCATCGTGGCACATCCATAAAGAAACACGATGACCCCGATGACGGATGATGGGATGAGGAAGGATGTATATAATCCCAGCCAGGCAAAGTACAGCCCAATTTTTTCTCCAAAATACTTTCTGGAAAAGGAAGAAAACAAAACATACTGAGAAGACCATAGAGTTTCCTTCTTTCTGTTTGCTCTAAAACTGAGAATGGGTTGAAAAAAATGGAAAGGGACAAAAGTTACATGGGGAACAGGGGACCTCAGCACAAGGAATCAACAACTGGTCTTTTCTGAAATGAATCACATTCCATTCGAATCACATATACACACCTGTCCTGGCTGTTCGTGTAAAGTAGCTGCAGGAAGGAATCCAGCACTAACAGCAAACTGAAGAAAATGCCACACGTTTTGGCATCTTTACCAGACAAACATGAATAACATATCGGCATTTCATGAGTGCCATAGTACTCAACCCACAGAAAAACACACCTTTTTGAAACTAGCTTATTTAAACAAAACACACAAATTTGGGGGCATGTAAACTGATATATACAGACGAACAAAGATGCACTCATAGAAAAATGACTAGAAGAAATTCAATAAAATATGAGTCATGGTTTCTTTAGCTGATGGGATTATGGGTGGGTTTTATTTCTTTATTTTTTTTATCTTTCTGCATTTTTTAACTCTATTTTGTTCATGAATTACTTTTAAAATAAAAAATGATTTCTTTTAAAAAGAAAAGGTACGAACCCATATCTTTTTGTTCCCCACTTCATAAAGTTAGTAAATGACCACATAAAGCCTCTGAAAAGGGGTTTTCCTTTTCCCTTAGATGGATATTGATGATGGATCCTGACGAGAAAAAACAACCCACAGAGGAGACGTATATTCTATTTCTCACGAGCCTCCGATATAAACCACAGGAGGGAAATGGGAACCCAGCCCACCCGTTGATGGAAGGACTAGAGAATAAGAGGAACAAATAAAATCTATGTATCCACCACCAGAATGCTGCTTCCACTTAGGATAAAGACACTGCCAGGAAATGTAGCTTCCCCCGAACAACAAAAATCTGTTAAATCAAAAATTTTCGTGAGGGCTTCCCTGGTGGCGCAGTGGTTGAGAGTCCGCCTGCCGATGCAGGGGACGTGGGTTCGTGCCCCAGTCCGGGAGGATCCCACATGCCGCGGAGCGGCTGGACCCGTGGGCCATGGCCACTGAGCCTGCGCATCCGGAGCCTGTGCTCCGCAGCGGGAGAGGTCACAGCAGTGAGAGGTCCGCGTACCGCAAAAAAAAAAAAAAAAAGCAAATACGTTAATGATTACATTAAATATAAATGTACAAGAAACCCACTTAAAATATAAAGGCATATATAGAAAAAAAGTAAAGGACTGGAAAAAGATATACCATGCCAACACTAATCTAAAGAAAGCTGATACAAACAAAATAATCTTCAGAACAAAGAACATTACCAGATATAAAAAGGGACATCAAACAATGATAAAATGGTCACTTCATTAAGAAGGCCTAATAATCCAAAACACATACAGTAAAATAAAATACATGTGTCAAATGCATAGATCAAAATGCATGCAATAAAAACTGATAGAACTGAAAGGATAAACACACAAATCCTCCAGTATAAATTAGAGGTTTCAACACTTCCCTTCAGTAGTTGACAGACCAAGTACAAAAAAGCAGTAAGGATACAGAAGACACTTCAAACCAACTTGACTGAATTGACATTTATACAACACTCTACCAAACAACAACAGAAAATACATTCTTTGCAAACACACATTCACTAAGATAGACCATATTGTGAATCATTAAGGAAATCTAATAAATTTAAAATAACTGAAATAATAAAAATGTTGTACCATGACCACAACTGAATTAAACTAGAAATCAACGGCAGAAAGCTGTCTGGAAAAATCCCCAAATACTTGGAAATTAAACAATATCCTTCTACATAACCATGGGTCAAAGCAGAAATCACAAAGAAAATCAGAAAATATTTGTGATTGAGGAAAATAAAAACACACATATCAAAATTTGTGGAATGCCATTATACTTAGAATGCCAGTAACACTTAGAGAGAAATTTATAGCATTGAATACTTGGTATTAAAATAAGAAAGTTTTCTTTTTAAGTTCATCTAGGATTTCTTTTATTGAAGTATAGTTGATTTACAATGTTGTGTTACTTTCAGGTGTGCGGCAAAGTAATTCAGTTATACATATACATACATTCATTCTAAAAAAGAAAGCTTTAAATCAATCATCTAAGCTTGCACTTTAAGTAGAAAAAGAACAAATTAAATCCAAAGCAAACAGAAGGAAGGAAATAATAAAGGGGGGAACAGAAATAAATGAAATTGAAAAGAGAAAAATCAATGAAACCAAGAGCTGGTTGTTTGAAAGGATCAATGAAATTGATAAATATTTAGTCAGACTGGTCAAGAAAATAAAGGATAAAACACAAATTACCAACCTTGGGGGGGAAAAAAGAGACACCACTACAGTCCTTATCTTCCGTGTTAGTGAATGCGACAATACCAGTTGTTTTTTCAAGGGTGTTCACCTCACCTTCTCCACTAGTCCATTACCCATCTCCAGCAGAAGAGAGGGGAAGAGAGAAGGGAGGAGACAGATAAGACTTAATAAACACAAACTGCCCGGTGCTTTCATCCTGATTGTCTTGTTTCACCTCATTTTTCATTCTCCCAACATCTCTTCCAGGTGAGAACACTGACACTCCCTGGACACACAGACTTGTCTAAGGTCACGTGGCCAGCACCTGACAGAGCAAGAATTTGACCTCTTGGCTCCTGACCCCTCTGTGTCTGGTGCTTGTGCCAACGTAACAACAGCAGCAACAGTAACTGATGTTTATCGGGGGCTAATTATTTGCCAAGCTCCATTCTAAGAAGATTACAAATATTCTTATTTTTTAGTCCTCACAACCCTCAGAGGTAGTATGCTATTATCCTCAAATTATAGATGAGGAAACTGAAGTACAAAAAGTTGACTAACCCAAGGTCCCACAGCCAGTAAGAAGCAAAGACAAGATTCAAATTCAGTGAGTCTAACTTGAGATTCCAGCTCTTAATGTCCACCTTATACTGACCTCTAGGAGGAATTTCGAGAAGGAAAGGAAGTGGATGAGCAGGAGACATGCCCAGGGCAAATTTGCTAAGTTCTAAAAGAACTACACCTAGCTACCCATCCATCCCCCATCCCCCGCAACGTCTTCACGCTTTTTTCCAGCTCTGAAGCTTTCCCATCGCAGCATCCCATCCGAGGCATCCAGCCACTCAGAGACGTAAGATTTCCCTGACCACTCTCCTAACCTGTCCTGTCTACAAATCTTCTCTACCATTGCCTCTTAGCCTTTTGCTGAAGGAGCCGATCTGATGAATTAAAGCCTACTGGGATACTTTATCGCTTCTTCCAGGAAAATGTCTGCATTCCAAGCTTTATGGAGACACAACGCCTTCACCTCTTAAAGGAAGGGGTAGAATATTTTGAGGTGTTCTTCTAACTGCCCCACACAGGCAGCGGACTACTCTGTTTACCCATAAAAACACTACTGGCTGGAGAGGGGGACAGAGAGCCTGAGCACAGAGCCTCGATACCTGGGAAAGGGAGACAGGAAGGTCAGAATGCATGAAGGTAAGAACACATGAAACAGAGAAGGATGAAGAGCCAACTATGTCACTTAAGGGAAACAGGACAGCAGGGCTGAAAACTCAGATGCCCCCAGGAGCCAGGCAGGAACCATGAATGATTGAAGCAGGCCAGGCAGGACCAACCAAAGCACCTCCAGCGAAAAACGAGAGGGCTCATGTCCATCTATGGGGAGCAGTAGGTACTCATCTCCAGCAGCCCAGGGCGACATGTGGGAAAATGAGACCAGTATTACCAGATCTTACAATTTTCTGAAAAAAAAAAAGCTGGAAAACTGTATTTCTCCTAATTGTTAAATGTTGGCAACTAATTTAACTGAAAAACAATGTACAACCCAAACGAAAGGCACTGGAGGATTGAACAGTGCCCATGGATATTAGCTGGTACCTTCTGTGGAACAGCAGAGATCACAGGACACAGGCTCTGGAGTGGGCAGGGCTGGACGAGAACCTGGCCTCTGCTGTTTCCTGACTTGGGAAAGTCTCTTAGCTTCTCTAAGCTTCATTTTTCCCATTTGAAAAATATGTCAATGTGAAAGTTAAATGAGCACGGTATACGAGGACACAAGTCAGCAGGCAGTAAACACGAGCTGTTGCACAGGATATCACTCTAAAACTGGCGCGCACTACTACATTAAAATGAGGAACCTCTACTCATCAAAAGACACTAGTGAGCGAGTGAGTGGGAAAAATACTGACATACATACATCCCACAATGGACTTGGATCTGGAAAACATGAAAAACTTCCAAAGCTCAATAAGAATTAGGCAGAAAATCCAACAGAAAAATGGGCAAAAGACCTAAGGAATACTTGGTTAAAAAAAGGTACCCAAGTGACCAATAAGCATACGAAGAGGCGTTCAGCTTCCCTAAGCATCAGATCATCAGGGAAATGCAGATGAAATCGCAATGCAATACCTCTGCACGCTCGTGGGAATGGCAAGAACGAAAAAGAGGGAAAATGCCAGTGTTGGGATTCCTCCACGTTTTTCCAAACGTTCACATGGTGCTGGTGGGATGTGCACAGGTGGAGCCTCTTTGGCAGGTGGCTTGGCAGCGTCTGCCAGAGCTGAGCACGGCCCTCCCCTGTGACCCTACAGCTCTGCTCCTCAGTACCTGCCCAGCACAGATGGGAATCTGTGAGCTGAAAGACACACCAAGTTCACAGCAGCACTGTTCGTGATACCCCGCAGACCGGGAGCTCCCCAGATGGCTATAAGCAACAGAATGCATGAACACGTTCTGATACGTTTGCCCAACAGAATATTATACAGCAAGGAGAATGGACAGAACACAAAAACACACAACAATATGGACAAGTCTCACACCTATCATCTGAACAAAAGAAGCCAGGCACAAAAGAATTACTGTACAGTACGATTCTATTTCTATAAAGTTCAAAAACAAAATAACTGTGTTAAATACAAATGGTCATTAGCCC